AATGTTTTCTTTTTCTTTTTTCTTTTTTCTTCAAGACATTGGTATAAATGAGTAAGGTCTAATGTTCAAAAATTCATCCGTGTTTTCTATCAGCAGCCTTGTGGGTATCCCATAATTACCAGTTTCTCTTTACTGAGAAAAAGGCAAAGCGCTTTGTGTGAATGTCAACAAAACCTATTATCTTAGCAAACATACACTTTTGACTTTTTTTTTAAAGATCTATTTATTTATTTATACATATTAGCACTCTATTTGCATGTATGCCTGCATGACAGAAGAGAGCATCAGATCTCATTATAGATTGTTGTATGCCACCATGTGGTTGCTGGGAATTGAACTCAGAACCTCTGGAAGAGCAGACACTGCTCTTAACCACAGAGCCAATTTTCCAGCCCCCTGACTTTTTAAAAATAAGTTTTTTTATTCACTTGACATCCTGAACATAACCCCCTCCCTCCTCTCCTTCTGGTTGGTCCTGGTCCCACCCTCCCACCCTCTTCCCCTTTTCCCCTTCCCAGAAAAGACCCCCCCCCCCCCCCCCCACACACACATATCAACCTATGCCAGCACATCAAGTCACATCAGGACTGAGCCCATCTTCTTTCACTGAGGCCAGACAAGGAAGCCCAGCTAGGGGAAAGTGATCCAAAAGCAGGCAACAGAGACCATGTCCGAGACAGCCCCTGCTCCCCTTCACAGCCCAGATGAAGACCGAGCTGTGTAGGGTCCTAGGTCCAGCCCATGCATGGTCCTTGCTTGGGGCTTTGGTCTCCATATACCCTCCTGGGCCCTGGTTAATTGGCTCTGTTATTCTTCTTGTGGAGCTTCTGTCCAGTCCAAGTCCTTTTTATCCTTCTTCCTACTCTTCTGCAAGACTCCTGCACTCTGCCTAGTGTTTGGCTGGGGGTCTCAGCATCCGTTTCAATCTGCTGCTGGGTGTAGCCTCTCAGAGGACAGCTATGTTAGGCTCCCATCTGCAAGAATAGCAGGATATCAGTAATAGTGTCAGGGTTTGGCTTTCTCCCATGGGCTGGGTCTCAAGTTGGGCCAGTCAATCTCTGCTCCATCTTTATCACTACATTTCTTGTAGGCAGGGTAGGTTTAGTGTCGAAGGTTTTGTGGGTGGGTTGGTATTTCCCTCCCTCCACTAGAAGTCCTTCCTGCCTGGAAGGTGGTCACTTCAGTCTCCTTATCCCTCCCCCAACCCCTTTCATCTGTTAGGAGTCTCAGCTGGAGTCACCTCTCAGAGAAGCTGGAGACCTATGACAGGGTAGACTCCTGGGAGGATATGAAGGTGACTCTAGCTGACACATTTGATTTTAATCTCTGTGTGTGTGTGCATGTGTGCGTGTTTCTAGAGATGACGGTTCACTATGTAGCCCAGGCTGGCTTGGAACTCGTGTTCTTCCTTTTAGCCTCCCAAGAGCTAGATTGCAGATGTACACCATTACCTCCCAGCGGCTCATTTCTCTTCGGCGAGGGATGCAAAGCCAGCCAGACGGCTCTCAGAGCACTTGGCACTCTTGCTTGCTCTCCATGACACCCCTGGGTTATGAAGCACCTGAAATACTCTGGCAGTGGCTTTGCCTCCAGTGGTTTAAGACTCAGAGGTTTGCAAGCAAAGGGTTTCTACTGGGAGACACACGCAGGACCTGCTCTGCTGAGGGCGGGGAGGCCGGGACTCTCGCCTCATTCCAGCTGTGTGTTGAAGGTTGTGTGCACAAGGTTGAACCCAGCTCATAGGTGTGTGGTGTGCCCACAGCACCTCCCCCGCCTCTCTTGGCCTGCCACTCTGCCTTCAGCAGCTCCCAGAGGCATTGGGGAAGGATCACTAGGCCACTCCTTTTCTCTCCTCCCACACCTGTACCCACTTCCCTGCTGTAGTTTTATGGGCCCAGGAGGAGGTAGGTTTGACACAGGGACACAGTCTCTGGGGACAGCTGCAGACGGGTTAGCTCCCCAGACAGTAAAATGTAAAGAGGGGGGAGGGGCGACCTTTGAAGTTTGCAAAGAAGCATGACTTTGACCACTTCCTCTTCCTCTTCGCCCGGGTGTCCCAGGTATTATGCTGAGAGCAACTGCCAGCTAACTTTACAAGGAAGGATGCATTTCCGTCCCTGAGGTCTGTGTCCTCCGTGTTTTACACAGCTCTGAATGGCCGTTCACAGGAGTCACAAGGCGACACTTGACTGGAGGTTCTAGAGAAGGGCCCCAGGGACCTCCTGTGCCGTGAATGTGCCGCAGAGAACACTCTGGATTCAAAGTTCAAACTCTGAAGATACCTCTCGCTTCCTTCCAGCCTGCTTCTCACGCACTTTCTCTGTTCTGAGCCTCCTTGAACTCAGAAGGATGAGTTGTAGTGTCCTGAAGCTGTGACACTGAATTTTTCCCTTAACTTCATAGCTGAGTTTTAGTCTTTGGGCGACATCTTTTCTTCCCACTCTGTTGGCAGTATTTTTTTTTTTTTTCTGTTTATAAAAGAACTCCAGGGATTTAGACTTTTGTTACTTTTTGACAGTTTATCATGAAATGTCCCAGAGGAGGGGGTGGGGGGTAGGGAAGAGGGAGAGAGAGGGAAGGAGGGAGAAAGAAGAGAGGAGGAAGAGAAAAAAAAGAAGAGGGGGAGAGAAGGAGGAGGGAGGGGAGAGAAGAGAGCTTGCAGCAGAACAGCAAAACTTACTTCAGGGGAACTGCTGACCTCAAGAAACTGTGAGGTTAATCTGCAAACCTGACAGTCTATAGGGGTTGTGAGGACAGGCCCTCATTCCCTGTCCTCCCCAGTGCCAAATAAGGCCGAGGGATAGAGTATTGTGGGAACTAAATATGGAAGCATGAAGTGAATGATCTGCAGGCCAAAAGCCCGGGGCTTCCCTTCTATCACCCCCCTACACACACACACACACACACACACACACACACACACACACACACGTCTGTCTCCACACCCCACAGCCTGTACTCCCCAGTGTATGCTTCCTCCCTGGCTAAAGCAACCAAAGGGAGGGAGGATCTAATTTGGCTCACGGCTTAAGGGGATATAGTTCATTATGTCAGGGCAGGTGTGGCAGAGGAGCTATTGGCTGGCTGAGTGCTCACAGCTGGGCTGGTTGCTAGTTCTCAAAGGTTTTTGCTTTGTTTTGTTTGTTTGTTTGTTTGTTTTGGCCATGGGTGTGTGTGTGTCTACTTTCGTCCACGGTTGCCCTTTTGCTCAGGTGTGATTGGTGGGAAAGAATTTGCTTTTGTGCCTTTGTCTTCACTTGGGCACAGTTGGTAGGTGCATTCTGGGTGTGCTAGTTTCTTCCACTGACTTATGTGTGTGTATGTCTCCACTACCAGTATCACACAGTCTTCATTAATGTAGCTGTACCATAAGCCTTCCTATTGGGAAGGGTGACACCTGTCCCCTTTATTCTTTTTTCAACCTTTCCTCCTACTTCTACTTTTCCATATGGATGTTAGAGCACGCTGGTCTATGTTTATAAGAATTGGGCTGGAATCTTTTAAAAGTCATTATGTATTTATTGTGTGTGTGCGTGCCTGCGTGCATGCAAGCGCATGGGCACAGGCGCACGTTCCGTAGAATGCATGTAGAGGGAAGAGGACAGGATGACTGCCAGGGGTTGGTTCTTGCCCCTCTCCCCTCCTTTTTTTAATTGGGGTGGGGGTGGGGGCTTGAGGCAGGGTTTCTCTGTGTAGCCTTTGCTATCCTGGACTCACTTTGTAGACCAGGCTGGCCTCAAACTCACAGAGATAAGCCTGCCTCTGCCTCCCAGGTGCTGGGATTACTGATGTGCACTACTGTGCCCAGCTAGCCTTTCCCCCTTTTGAGGCTGGGCCTCTCTTGTCTTACTGCTGCTGTGCTGCGTGCTCCAGGCTATGTGGCCCACAGCTTTTGCCTTCCTGTCTCCACCCACTTTTTGATGGGCAGGAATTAAATCATGATGGCTACAACAGGTTTTATATGAAGAGGTTTATTAGGTGGCTATAAGGAGAGGGAGAGAAGGGGGGAGAGCAAGACATAATTGGGAGAAAGAGAGAGAGAAAGAGAGAGAAGGCGACCCCATAGAGAGGGGAAAAAGGCCAAGAGGCCAGGAGCAAGAGAGAGACCACTTGTTGGGCTGTCCCTTTAAGGGGAAAGGTAACCACGCCTTCCAGGTGTGGCCACCTGGCCAGTGACACATAATACATGACGACATCATAAGTTGCTAGGCAACCCAGAAGCAGGTTTGGTTCCAAAATCCTAACACTTCCTCCCCAGGCATGGTGGCGTTAGAAATGTGAACCACTGATATGGCCGCCACCAAATAGAAGCTTTTTATATGGGCTCCAGTTTGAGCTAAGGTCATGAGGCTGAAGGAGCTAGCTCTTCTTTAACGCACGGAGCTATCTCTCCAGCTTTTGGTTGGACTCCTGATATGAATTGTGTTTACCTATACATCTGTTTTACTAAACTGATACATTCCATGAACATGGTTAGGTTTTTTTTTTTTAAGTATTTAGATCTTTGATTTCTTCAGCAACATTTTGTAACATTAAAATGCATCTTTGTGTGCTTTCTTGGGTTTCTACAGAGATGCATCTGCTCCTAGATTGTGTGTTGACCTTGTGTCCTGCATTCTCACTCAGCCCTGTTGCTGTTGCTTTAAGGTTTCTTTGCTCTCGTTCCTAGCCTCACCCCTAGTGTGCAGCAGCATTTGTGTGCATCTTGGTGTGTGATACACAGAGCCCATACGATGCTGTTCCCTCGCCCATTCCTCATTTCCGACTCAGTGCATCCTACTCTCTTTCTGATGTTCCTGACTGCTCTTCTCTAGCCTGTGAGGTGGGGCTTAGGCATCTCATGTACCTGTTTTCAGGGACACAAGCCTGGAGTCCTGAATTGAGGGCAGGGCTATCAGGAGGTGGCAGAGGTGGTGAGGGCCAGGGGACAGCAACCAGGCTTGATGAGAAGGGCCCGTTGGAGGGCATTTGTAAGAAGACGTCTCTTGCTTTCTTCCAAGAGTCTGCTTTCTCGACTCACAGAATGGAGGAAAAGGTGCCAACAGCATGAAGCGTCCCGGAGGCTGCAGCAAGGACCTGAGGAAGTGAGTGTGTGAGACTCCACCTCATCTTTGGGTGCCCTCTCTCCTGTTGGGCAAACGGTCAAGGTCTGAGTGAGGGACGAGTATACATATAATTGATTTCCTCTCTCAGGCATGGGGCAGGCACGTTCTCCCCAGTGGAGGCACTCCCTCCACACTTCCCTCCTCTTCAGCTTCTCATTCTCATCATTTCTAGGTCGATTTTCTTCTTTTAGGACTATCCTTCCACCTAGCTGACTATCCTTTGCAGTTTAATTGTATGTAGTTTCTGTTATTGTTTTTTAGGCAATTTCTGACATGTGGATGTAGCCCAGTGTGTGAACATAGATTTAGTATGTGACGGAAGCCCTGGGTTTGACTCCCAGCACTGAAAAAAAAGCAAATATTTAGATAAATATAAATATTTTCCCTCATTTTTAAAAGAGTAGTGTAATTATAACAGTATGTTTAGGTTTTTAAAATACTATCCTAAACCACATAATGGCTACTACCTTCAGCCATTGTTAAAACGATATATTTGTTCTTTCTAATGTCAGGCTGGTGCAGGCTCTCTTGAGCTGCCTGGCTCTCTGGCTGTTGGTGCTGTCCTCTGAGGTAAAAGCCTAAGCGCTGACATCACACCTCCAGGAACATGAGGCTGAGGAGGAAGGTGAGGGTGCCATGTCCACACACCACGTGGCCTATAAACCAAAACTGGAGAGAGTAGGTGTTACCATGTAACCATCATGAGAAACAGGACTGTGGGCAGCTACTGCACGTGGAATTGAAATAGCTACAATGAGCATAAAAGATGTGTTCACCGTGAAATGTGTCTTACAGAGCAAGAGTATGTGTAAGACAAAGATGGATTCCCGAGGCAAGATATATCTTAGTCGGTTGTACCAGATGTATTCCAGATCCCTCGCTAACATGGAATTCTCCAGAAGGTAACATCCCCTCACCTCTGAGACAGGGTCTTGGGAGTTCACTCTGAAGCCAACCTTAAAATCCCACTGTCTTAGTTTCCCAAACTCTGGATTATGATGTAAACCACCACACTTAGATTTTATTTTTCCCTCCCCTCCCCTTTCCCTCCTCCCCTCCCTCCTTCCTTCCTCCCTTCCTTCCTTTGTCCTCATCTCCCAGGAATGCTTGAGGTAGGCCCACGCAGCTAGGTGTCTGCTTCTATGTTTGATGTCTCCTCACCTTAACTATATTTCCACATAGACACTAAGGAATCGTCACCACTGAACAGCCTTCAAGCTGCCTCCTAGACAAGGAAGAGCATACGATCTACTTATGAGGGAGAACCTGTTGTAGTGTAAGATGGCGATAAAGGCTCTGCCACCCTGTGAGGCTGGGAAAGAATATGGGAGGGAAAAGGCAGAGGTGAGGGGTGTGTGAACGTGTGTCTGTGTGTATGTGTGCAAGGCACAAGCTCATCCACCCAGGATTGGGATCATTCAAGCTCCTTGGTGTAAGCTTGAATCTACCATCCACTGCAGCATCTGGTACGATGGAAGCAAACTTAACCTGTGCACCAACGTGGCCTCTGTGCCCCCCCTTCCCATGACCACACTGCTAAGCAGGGTGTGGATGTATGAGGTCAAGATAGACATAGTCTGCAAATGACACATGAAGCAGAGGTAGAGTAAATATAACACCCAAGCACACACACACACACACATTGTGACGATGGCAGCGACAACCTCTGTGTGTATGTACTTTTCTGCAATAGCATGGAGAGGGCATTGCCCTCGCTCCCAGTAAACAGACCAGCAACACAATGACCCTCCATGTAATGGTCTAGGACCTGGCCTGAGGTTGCCACCTAGGAATTGAACTTGGCCCAACTGACTCTGGCCTGCCCTGTGAGCTCAAGGTGCATAAAACAGGCAGGTAGGGACCTTGGGGCTGTGCAGGCAGCCATGATGGACAGAGAGCTGGGTCCTACCTAGAGAGCTGAGCAACCGACCAAGTCCTTCACTCAGGGTCCACAGATGAGGGGTTATTCAGAAACTGGGATGAATTGGGGATATGGTCTTCTTCCTCAAGGCATTCGAAAGATTCATCCAGTCTGTTAAAATGCCCTGAGTTTGCAGCATGGGAGGTGTCTCTCCAGGAGACCAAGTTCTTTTCCAGCTTGCGTGGATGGAGGCCTCCCCTCCCCCTCTTCCCTGGGAAATCTGCGCTCCCGCCGCTAGGGTGTTTCCCATGAAACATTTAACAGAGCATACACCTGGGAGAAGCCTACGGATTCTGGTGGCAAAGAAGCCCCTTGCTGGTCATTTGTGGGGTGGTGGGCGGTGTTGGGGGAGTGTTTCCCTCATTTGGGGACCAATTCTGGCCCGGCTATTAGCATTTGAATCGGGCAGCCCAGTTGTTTTGATTGAATAGAGAAAGCAAGCCTTTGTTGTTGCAATTTAAGGAGTAAGTTGCTCTCTGGCCTCCTTTAATCAGCTGGAATAGGGGAAATGGCAATGGCTGCCTGTCTGGGCTGGGAATGCAACCTACTCTCAAGCTGCCCCTGTGAGAGCCCCAGATCCCACAGCACTTGGGATCAAGCCTCTGCCCACGGCTGTCCTTTCCCTCAGAACTTCTTTCAGTGCCTTCAAAATATTCTTTTTTTTTTTTTTTTAAAGATTTATTTATTATTTATACAACATTCTGCCTGCACACCAGATCTTACAATAGATGGTTGTGAGCCACCATGTGGTTGCTGGGAGTTGAACTCAGGACTTTGGAAGAACAGCGAGAGTTTTTAACCTCTGAGCTTGAAAACAAAATATTCTTTTTAAAGCCGATCTACATAACCAGGGAAACACAGCTGGTCCGGATGGTAAAGCCAAACAGCCTATCCTCACTTTCCCGGCAAGAGGGGCCTAGGGCCACTTCAGGGATGATGTTCAAGTAACAGCTCACTGCACAACAGGGCATGGCGCTCCAAATAGCATAGCCCTTCGCAGTGTTTAATTTACAGGACCCAGAAATGTAAATTACCTTTATTACTTCGGTAAGTAGCAAAGTTCCAAGTTTTAGGTTAAAAAGACAGAGAAGGCGAAGTTTCCAAAAATCCTCCATTCCCTGCCTTTCATCTGAAGTTGGCACTACAGTTTATATTTTTTTTACATTGAACATAGGGACGTAAAGACTGGAGATTCCTGAGAATGGAGGTGACTCAGGGGGCCCCAATGAGGAAAAAGCCTCCTGGGAAGTTATTTTGAGCATCAAGTAAGCCACTCTGGTCTGCTCACATCTGGGCTTTCCTCCCTCCTCTGCTCTCCCGGAAATGGGAGATGACCAGCTTCTGAGGCTGGCCTCGGTCTCCAGAAGGCCTCCTGTGTCAGCCTTCTCTCACCCACCCCTGGTGCACACAGAGCATGTAACCCTGGGACTCTGAAGTTCCTTCCTTGCGTTGCATTCTCCAGCTGGAGTCCCCTCAAAGGAGCCACCTGGGGTCCTAATTAGCGGGCATCCTCCCTCAGGCTGGCCTTCTCCAAGGAAAGCAGTTTGTCAAACAGCTGTTCCCAACTGATAAAAGACTGTTTGCTTCTACCTCGGTGTTTGCTGTATCCTGTGTACAAAGACAAATGTCACCTGTCCTGTCCTGGCTCAGCAGAATCTAGCCCGGACTGGCTTGCCTTTGCCCCCTAGTGACCTTGCAGATTGGCCCTGAGACCCCCAGCTGTGCTGTGAGCTCAGCTGAGTCCCCTGGGCATGGGTGGCCCACTTCTTTGCCTCAGATGTTCTGGGCACACCAGGAGCAGTCCGGGAGGCAATGGGAAGCCCGCACAGGCTTTGCCACTTCTCAGGCAAGTAACATCGTGGTTATTTATTGGTTCTAGAGCCCTTTACCTCAACAACAGCCCCAGGGCCTAGCAGGGTAACACACAGGCCTTTAATCCCAGCACTCTAGAGACAGAAGCCAGCAGAGCTCTGTGAGTTTAAGGCCAGCTTGGTACACGTAGTGAGCCCTAGGCCAGCTGGGGCTATATAGTGAGACCTTGTCTCAACAAACAAACAAACAAACAAACAAACACCAAACAGACAGAAAAATAGTCCCAGTTCTGTAACCCTATATTCTCACAGATCTGGTGTAAGAAAACAGTGCGAGCCCCAGAGGGATTCTCAATGGAGGGATGATCCTGAGACTATACAATGAAGTCTATAGTTTAACCTGAGACAAAGCCAAGGTTGATTCAAGGTCCCATGGTTTCTGGGGCTAGTTAAAGATATTAAAGAAATTCTCTGCCATGGGCATGTATACAGATGTGTATACACAGGTGCATACTCACACACACACACACACACACACACACACACACACACACACACTGTCCCAAATGTCTCCCCTCAGCACAGAGGAGATGTGCACTGTGTGCCAGATGCACCTTTCCTTCATAATCAGACGTGTGTGTGTGTGTGTGTGTGTGTGTGTGTGTGTATGTGAGAGAGAGAGAGAGAGAGAGAGAGAGAGAGAGAGCATCTTCGTAATGGCAGACAGCCCTCATCATTCACTGCAGACCTGAAACTAGGCTCAGAGAAGCTAGTGGGGTCCATTAAAGACTACAGTGAACCCTCCTTCAGATGGTACTATGCCACAAGTCTGTTCTAGGAACCTTTTCTCCAGCATAGAGTGCTCTTCAGCTGCTAGGAGTAGGCCCATTTTTATGCCAAACTTTTTGTTGTTGTTGTTTAATACATTGTAAGAGTGTCCTCCGAGACTCATGCCACTTGCTCAGCATAACCGCAGGCTACGTGAGAACTGTCCTGTCATCGTGGCCTCCGACAGGACGGCCCAGCCAACGGCATTCAGCCTGAGTACATGGAGGGCCTGCGACTGTAGCCTCTGTGTACTCAAGGGGTGCTGAGCCTGACAGCTTCCTCTGTGTTTGCTTTTCCCTGTTTGGTGCCACCCGGGCAGACTGCTGGAGAGAGACGGCTGCTTTGCAGACATGCACGCTGAGCACGGAGCTGGAGGTCTGGTCAGTGTTCTGGGGGCCCAGAGAGTGGACAGAGATTTGGGAGGTGCAGAGGTTGCTGGGATGGGATGTACACTTTCTCCCAGCTGCAAGATGCAGTCTGTTCTCACTGAAGTGTGATTCAAGTGAGAGCCTCACGTGGTGGCGGTCAGGGACAGAAAGGTCCGTTTGGGTTGTAGTAGAGTGAAATCTTGAGCTAGGGCTGGAGATATAGCTGAGTTCAGAGAGTGTTTGCCTAGCGTGCAGGAAACCTTGGCTCAAACCCCAGCATCATGGCATGGTGGCACGTACCTGCTACCTTAGCACATGAGAGGAAGAGACAGGGACATGGAGAGTCAGAGTCATCCCTGGCTCCACAGTGGATCTGAGGCCAGCCTGGTAGCCCTGAGGACTCTTGTCTCAAAAGAAAATTAACAAGTCCACCTTAAGAACAGGACAAAGCCCAAACCACCCCACCTTCCCCTGGTCTTACTTCCGCTCTTATCCGAATTCTACACTGGGCCGGAAGGACTGGTGAGAGAGAAGAGATGGACTCACATGGCAGGCATGAAGGGGACCCAAGTGGTGGTTGTTGGTGACAAGGCATGGCTTTCCAGAATGGCGTGTATCAGACAACGAAACACTTAGCATGTATGTCTTAACGATTGTTACTCACCATCCCCAATTTTGATCTAAAATCCACTTCTCATCATTTTGAACGACAACAAAATGAAGCTGTTTTTCCTTTCAAAGGCGGATTACATGGTCCCAAGTGGACTTTTACAGGCAGATGCTCCCCCCAGAGAAACGGAGGTGGACGACCCCCTGGCCCCCGACCGGCAGCTTCGAGCACCACCTGCCCTCCGGTTTCGGTTTCTGAAGTTCGAAAGCCCAGGAAGTCCACAGAGAAGTTCCCCCCTGAAGACAGGAAGACACCAAGTGACCCTGTGCGGCATGTGAGTTGTTGGATTGGTGATGGCAGGGCCAAGTTGCCCTCTGACTTCCACATGTTTGTACACACACACACACACACACACACACACACACACACACGCACACACACGCACACAGACACTAAATAAATAAATAAATAAATATGAAAAAAAAAGGTTAGAAATGAAGAAATGAGAAACGTGCCCAAAGCAAACGAGTAACCAACAGAACTTAATACCATGGAATTGAAAGAATTTGGCCGTGGGTAGGACTCGAGAAGCAGGTAATTTGGATTTTACCTGCACATTCCCCCTTTGGGTCTCTGACAGCCTCAGACCACTTTCTTCACAATCCTTCCCAGGGCCGCTCGCTGGCTGGGGCACATGCCTCCCCCTGCTGCCTCCAAACACAGGCCTTTACCCCCTGAGTCTGAGGGTGTGACCTGCCATCTTCTGCCTGCCCCTCTCGGCTCATGTGTGACACCCCCCTGACGGTCTTTTAGTTAGTTTTACTGAGGCCAGCCTGGTCTCCAAAGTGAGTTTCAGGATGGTCAAGGCTACACAGAGAAACCCTGTCTTGAAAAAAATTAATTAGTTGACTATGAATAAATGAGTGAATTTACAGTGCTAGGGGTTGAACCGCAGATCTTGCCCATGTCAGACAAATGCTGTACCACTGAGCTATACCCCAAGCGTGCAGTCTCTTGACTGTCTGTCTACTCCCTGCTCCACACCCCTGTGAGGCTGACTGGCATGGCTGGTGTTAGGTGTTGACACAGCGGGGTCCAGCTGTGCTGCTTTCCCTCATCTCAAGGAAGCTCGGTACGTTTCATCATCTTATGCCGTGTGAAGGATGACACCTGCTCCCTGGGCTGTTGGAGAACTCAGTTCAGGGATGAAGATGTGGCGTTCTCCATCACACTTGTCTGTGATGGCAGCTCTTTGAATGTTCCATCCGTATATGTGTCAGTTGCGGCTCGTGTCTAGTTCATACCCAGTTTCTCCTCCTGGCCAGTAATCTAATAAGGTAGAAATGTGCGGGCTGTTGGCTGGTCCTCGCTGGTCACACTGGGTTAGATCTAATCAGTGCTCGTCCTGTTAGCTCCTCCCGAGGTGTGAACACATGTTCAACGTTACTGCAAATCACATGGAATCTCAGGCTTAAGATTATTCATTGAGTGAGTGCTGTCTGACCAAATATTGGTGAGCCTGCTCTAACAAGCAGAAGTCTTGTCTCAGCCTGGTCTGATGCCCTGTGATCTCCTGTGATGCCCTTTGACGCCCTCTGACAGAGTGGTTTTATGGACAGCCACTTTGTCCACACTCCAGTCTGGTGATGCTTTCACCAGAGCGTTCCCTTCAGTCTTGTGTTACTTTGGTAATAAATTTCCGATTTTCTGTTTGGAATCCTTTCTATATCAAGTGCAGTGATGAGAATTGGCATTTCAGCAAAACACCTCATATCCTAGAATGAAGCCATCATACACCCTCTTATCCTTTAAAATTATATATATATAATTTATACAGTCCTCTGCCTCCTTATGTGCCTGCACATCAGAAGACAGCACCAAATATCACTATAGATGGTTGTGAGCCACCATATGGTAGCTGGGAATTGAGCTTAGGACCTTTGGAAGAACAGCCAGTGCTTTTAACCTCTGAGCCATCTCTCCAGGCCCCCACCATCTTATCCTTAAGAAGCAGCTTGCCAGGGCTGGAGGGATGGCTCAGTGGTTAAGAGCATTTATTCTTGCAGAGGAACACAGTTGTTCATAACTCCAGTTCCAGAGAATCAGATGCACTCTCTGACCTCCGGGCACTAAGCATCCATATGGTGTACATGGATGCTGGCAAGATATTCATACACATAAAATAAATCTAAAAAAAAAAAAATCAATGCAGATTATTTCAGGCAGCACAGGAGAGCCTCAAATGCTGCCAAGGCCCTGCTATCACGCTGTTGCGGATGGATGAGGGCCAGTGCTCCTCTCCATTCGAGAGCCACACTGATTTCTGTCTTTTAAATCAACATAGACGCCATTTTTCTGGGATCCTTTGCAGCACTGTGGCTGAGGACAGGCAGGGCCGCAGTCATTTCATCCTCTGCTTGCTCTGGTCCCCAGGTGTGCCAGGTGACAGTATGTTTAAGTCAACACAACTGGCAGGGGAAATCCTCTCATTTCCTTGTATCTTCATGCAAGTTTAATGACACCTGATATTTTCACACAGATGTTCACAAAGACATGCACATGGGAACACACACAGACACACGCACACCCAGACAAACATACACACGGACAGACACATACAAACACAGACTTGCACGCAGACACACACCGAGACCCAGACACACAAGACACATGCAGAAACCCACACAGACAGACGTGCACACACACACACAGACACCTGCAGACATAGGCATGTATGTACACACACATAGGCATACACCGTTTTCTTGGAGATAGGACACTATAGATTTCTTTTTTTTTTTTAATACAGTATTGACAGGGCTGGAGAGATGGCTCCACAGTTAAGAGCCCCCACTGGCCGCTCTTCTTATAGAGGACCGAGGTTCAATTTCTAGCACCCACATGGCAGCTCACAACTGCTTTTAACTCCAGGTCCCAAGGATATAGTGCCCTCTTCTGGCCTACGTGGGCACTGTATTCATGAGGTACACAGACAATAGACACATACATGTGGGCAAAGCATTCACACATATTAAATTTTTTTTTGAAATTATATTGAGGGAGTCTGTGATCCAAAAAAGGTTAATGTTATGAAGATGAATGAAGCGGGGGAGGGGGAGAAACACTTCTATTTGCAGAAAAAAGTTAACTCCATTTTGTGTTTGTGTACAGAAAACACCCCAAATGCCATCTGTGAGAGAATCTCTCCTCTCTTTAGGAGCAAGCTTTCAGAGCAGGAGAGGGCCACAATTGCTCCTGCCCAGATGACCACAGAGCCTGTGAGGAGCAAACCTGCTCCTGCCAGGGTGAGCCCAGACCCCAGGCCTGCAGTACCCCTGACCCTGGAACATATGATCCAGACCCATCCTGTGGTGGTAGGTTCCTGTTTTCTCTCTGCCTGTGCTGGGTGGAGCTGTGGCTCTCCACAAGATCAAAGGACAGTTGAGGGCAGGAGATGGTGGAAAGATGGGAGGTGGGGCAGAGCAGGATGCCAGCAAGTGTGAGATTTCTGAGGATTTCCGGGCTGGGGGATAGATGGGCCAGCAGCCCAGAGATGAAGGCTGGGAGACCTCAGGATAATGGGAGACACTAGAGAGGAACGAATAGCTTTCTAATTTCCTGTATTGGAGCAAATAACTCTGGCTGAGTTGAGTGTTAAGAAAGTTGGTGCATGGTGCAATCCTTAGACTTTATCTGTTATGAGCAATGAAAGAGTTCATGTAAATATATGTGATTTTCTCTTTTATTTATTATAGGAGGTTAAGACAGCAGCGAGCCAATACTGGGTAAACTATGTGGATGAAGAATAAGATTTTATATGGCCACTAGCTGAAGAAAATCCAAACAGGAAAGGACAACTTTCCTTTTCTTTGGTTCAACATTACCGTATGCAGCGGGGTAAAGCTATAAAAAGATGTGCATAAGATACCTTGCATGGGCGCTTCGATCATTCTTTCGTTAGAAAGGTGGCACCATCGTGTGGAACCTAGGACCATGAATTCAGATGGTGGAGATGGTCAGACACAGACAGTACCGTGGGCGTTGTTTGCAGGCTGAGGAGATTTTAAAATGGGGCTTCAGCCAGTGGCTTTCAGTTCTGCTGACTGGTGGTCCTTCCGCCCGGTGCCCTCTCTGTAGTGTCTTAAATAAAAGAAGCTGTTTTCTTTCTTAAAAATTATTTTTAAGAAAGCGGTCAAATTATGAGTAGGGATAAGGAGGCGTGAACATGAATCAAGATGAAATCAAATGAGCTTTATGAGGTAGGGAAATATAACTAATGGAAGTAGTAGTTAATGGAAGTGGTTAGATAGGCCTGCCTGAAGACACAGCGCATGAAGTAGATAGGCCAAAAATGCGATCAGGTGTGTAACGCTGAGAGACAAAGTGCTGGTCCTAATGGGCCAGTGGGGTTTAATCCCATGCCCAGCAGCAATGGTGGAGAAGCTGGGAAAGGTGCAGGACAGAAGAGAAAGAGACTTCCAGAGTGGGCAGAAAATATCAACCCTCAGATTTAGGGAGCCCAAAGAATCACAAACAGTGATGTAAAAATGACAGCAGTGGCTGGGGATGTGGCCCAGTGGGAAAGTGCTTGACCTGCACGCTCAAATCTCTGGGTTCAGTTCCCAGTACTGTAGAAGTAGTTGTAGCAGTAGTAAAAATAGTGGGCTCTTGCAGAAGACCTGGGTTCAATTTCCAGCGTCAGGGAACACGACGCCCTCTTCTGGCTTCTACAGGGACTGCAGGCACATGGTGCTCAGTGCATGAAGGCAAAACACATAAAAGATGAAAAAAAGATTTTAGAAAGTAATAGTTAAAAAAGCCAGGTATAGAGCACACACCTTTAATCCCAGCATTCAGGAGGCAGAGGCAGGGGGATCTCTGTGAGTTTGAGGTCAGCCTGGTCAATGGAGCAATTTCCAGGAAGGCCAGGGCTACACAGAGAAACCCTGTTTAAAAAAAAAGTTCACAAGAGTGAAGATCCTTAAAGTTCCTCCTAAAGCCAGAGAAAAAGGCAGATCTCACAGAGGAATAACTCCCAAAGTGCAGGCAGCTTCCGAGTGGGAATGACAGCAGACTCTTAGAGAATCATTTCAACAAGAAGTAGAAACACTCAGTAGTCCTATAACAAGCCAAACCCAGTACTTTATTTCTCCCTCAGAGAAAGTTGGAAATTCGACGCTGGTTCAGCTGTCGAATTCTGCAGGTATGTAAGGAGGAAACTGTAGAACTTAAACAAAGATTCTCTAGAGAAAGGGCCAAAGGACCAGCCCCCCACCCCTACCCTGTTCCTCCTGTGAGGGGAGCATATCCCGGGCCACAAAGCCAGAGCCACGCAGTTGTCGCTCATGACATAGGCAATGCTCATAAAAGTACAGTGACAAGCTAATCTACTAACAGTCTAGTCATCTCCATAACTTCTTCCCATGAGAAGTATAATAGCAAATTATGAAAGAAGGAAAAAATCCTTGAACTAAGTATGGGTTTAAATATACATATGTAAAAAAAAAAAATGGTGTGTTTAGCAGTGACATAGGACAGGCTTTTCTTCTGAGGTTAGGAACAACACAAGGATTTTCATCAGTTCCACTCTTGTGCAGTATTGTACCAGAAGCTTGACCCACACATGGTGAAAAGAAAGTATAGCACTATTATCTTCTATAAGTTTTAATTTTTATTTTAGGTGTACAGGTGCCAGTGTACCATGTACATATGGTGCCTGAGGAGGCCAGACAGGGCGTTGGATCCCCTGGAACTGTAGTTACAGGTAGTAATCTTCTGTGTCAGGGCTGGGAGTTGAACCTGGGTCCTCTGGAAGAACAGCCAGTGCTCTTACCCTCTGGGCCACCTCTCCAGCTTCATCTTATACAGTTTAACTGCTACAGGAGAACTTAACTGGGTTTAATTATTGCAAACATTTCTTCTATGAGTAAGTAGATATTTGTTTCTCAAGACAGGGTTTCTCTGTATAGCAAAGCTCCAGCTATCCTGGACTCACTTGGTAGACCAGGCTGGCCTTGAACTCACAGAGATCTGCCTGCCTCTGCCTCCTGAGTGCACCACCACCCCTGGCTAGCAGAATTCTTCTTTTAAAGATTGAACTTTTAAGTGTGTGTGTGTGTGTGTGATTGGCCAGACATGTCCAATCTCGTGGTGCTGGAGTCACGGGTGGTTGTGAACTGGGGTTATGTAGGTGCTGGGAACCAAACCTGAGTCCTTTGCAAGAGCATGTATACTCCAAAGCACCGAGCCATCTCTCCAGCCCAGTAAACAGAACTTTAAAGCTACTCAAATAGTGTCTTCTAACTTTAGGTGAGGCTCTGTCTCAGTCTCAGAAGGTCCAGAGGAGGAGAAGACCCCAAGTTATGAGCTGCTGCTTTCAGGTTCCTTGGAAGGAAGGTAGAAGTTGTCCTCTGGTCTTTGTTTTCTTGCCAGCATCTGTTGATGGCTTACTTCTTCACCCCTGGCACCTGGGAGCAGGGAATACAGTCTCAGTCACCTTCCCCATCTCAAGGTGACACTCTGTGCTTAAGTTTAAGAGACAGTAGGAAAAGCTGTCACCTTGGAAGATTTGATTAAGTTGAGGGAACACTTATATAAATATTTAATGAGGCTAATGGACTGTCAAGTCATATTAGAAATAGAATTGTAATCTGTAGAAGTGTATATTCCCATGGATGAGTTGTCTGAGCTCTTGGGAAAATCAGAAAGTGAGTTACAGAGTAGAGCTAGGGGTGAGTTCAGAAAATAAGGTTGTGGCATTCCTTCAGTACATGGATGACAGATATGTTTAGTATCTATCATGATACTATCATGATAGTAGACTATCATGTCATTAGTACAATAAGAATATTCATGGTGTGTGTGAGGGGTGAGGAGGGATGAATCTCAGACCTTTAGGATGGTTGAGATGGGAAAATATTTTGAGCCCATGAGTTCAAGACCAGCCTGGTCAACATGGTATTGAGGGAGAAAAACACAGAAGGAAAGAACAAATGAAGGAGAGGTAGGAGAAAGGGGGGAGTAAGAAAAGAAGGAAGGAGTCAAGGGAGGAAGGAAAAATGGAAGGATGGAGGAAAATAAAAGGAAGAAAGACTGCCACTTTCCCTCCTCATCAGCCAGTGAGCAAGAAAGAACCAAGAAAAATAAGTGGTCTAACTAAATGCAGCCTGTTAACACCATTCGAAGCACCAGACATCTGTGTACACAGCACAGTCCCCGGAAGGTTGCAGATAAGCTGAACCTGTTTATGCCAGTTAAGGGACCAGGAGTCTTGCAGGTTTTGAAACCTTTTTACAGACTTTCATGGTTGAGCATCTCTCAACGTCTGTTTCTTAAATACCTTGTAGCCAAGGCTAGAGAGATGTCTCAGTGGTCAATAACCTTTGTTTTTCTTGCAAAGGACCTGGGTTGATCCCCAGCACCCACATGAAGGCTCACAACCCTCCATAATGCCAGTTCTAGGGGGTCTGATGACCTCTTCTGACCTTCGTGGGCACCGCACATGTGATAGACTTTTGTACACACAGGCAGAATACACAAACATTTATATGATAAATCTTATGCTAAAATAATCTAACAACACAAACAAACAAACAAACAACAACAAACAAACAAACCCCATCTTGCGACCCAGTCAGAAATGCTGAGCGGCAGCCGCAGAAATGGTAGCTGGGTAGGAAAGCAGAGCATATCCTGTGCAAACCTCAGTGTGCTTTTCTGTTTCTGAAGAACTCTGGGTCCCCAGCTGGCACGGAGCTGCAGTTCCACATGTCCTAGTGGACTGGAATGATGCCAAAGCTGGAGGGGTGACTCGATGCCCTCTTTGGACTTTCATTCATTGGCTGTGTGATCACCAGCTCGGGCACCAACTTCCAAAAGCTGTTCAAACCTGGACTGAAAATGAAGCCATGGGGGCTGGGGAGATGGCTCGGAGGTTAAGCACATTCCTGCTCTTCCAGAGCACTGGGTTCAATTCCCAGCACCACATGGCAGCTCTTAACCGTAGCTACAGTTTCAGGGGGACCCAAACCTTTCCGCAGCAGTATGAGTTTAAGTCCTGGAGTCCACGTGGCAGAAGGAGAGACCTGACTCCCATAAGTTGTACCCCCATTTCCATGTGAGTGTTGTGGAACACGTATGCCACACAAACACACTTAATGTATATGTCTGCACACACACACACACACACACACACACACACACACACACACACACAATGTCTCATTTTGTGGCTCTGTCTGCCTTGGAGACTTGGAACAGGCTATGTAGACCAGGCTTAGCCTCAAACTCACAGAGACCTTCCTCCTCTGTGGCATTATATGTACCACCATGATTGAAAAACAAAACAAAACAAAAAACAAAACAAAACAATTTTCTTTTCTTTTTCTTTTAAAAATAAAGTCTTGGAGAACTGGAAAGGAGTTTAGTCCCCAGTGTTTATGTCAGCTCACAACTGTCTATAACTCTAGCTCCAGGGAAATCTGATCCCTCTGGCTTCTGTAGATACCTGTGAGCCTTAGTGGGCGTGTGTGTGTACATAGACACACACACACACACACACACACACAATGAAGGGCTCATTCTAACATAGACCTCCCATTTTTTCCTCTTAACTCCTGCAAAGCTGTCTACTTCAGATTCAGCTACCTTGTCTCTTTGCCTTACTTAATAAAGAATTACTCTGTGCTGGAAATTGGTGTTTGGGTGTGGCCTGTGTCTAATTCGGGACCAAGAAAGGAGCACCTTTTGCTACTCAAGTCCCTTCACATATAATTAAAAATAAAATATAAAAAGGAAAAAAAAAACGTTAAGAGAAAAGCCAGATTTTCCTGCTCGTGTCCTCTTTTGAACTATGTGCTGTTAGTTTTTTTGTAAACTTGACACAAGTTAGAGTCATCTAGGAGGAGGGAACCTCAATTG